GGGGGGGGGGGGGGAGAGAACGGGAAGTGAGAAAGCAAGCCGCCAGGTCTAGAACTTGAACTGCGATCAGCCATATTTGAGTCCAGTACCTAACTACCCCGCCACTTGCCAGCTCCTATCAGGCCCTATGTAAAGATCACCAAACCCTAAGAAGAGCATTTGTTTAGGGAAGAATCCATTGAAAATTCTTAGTTCTGAACTTACCATTAAGTACCCAATCTCTTTCTGGTTGACTCTTGTCTCCATGGATACACATAGCTGGCCAACTATTAGAAGAAAAGTGACAAATATTTTAGAAATCTTAAAAAAGACAAAAGTCATACATTAAAAAGAAATGGTGGGCCAGCCCTGCAACACAGAGCACAGGGAACAGGACCCCACAAATGACTGTGGTTTGAACCCTAGCCCCAGCAGCTTTGAAGACATGCTAGGTGTGTATGTGTGCCCTAGATCCTGACAGGATAAACAGAGGGGAAATGGACTGTAGTGTGACTGTACCCCATTGAAAGGTGCTTTCATGAACATGTTCCCTCTGGTGAAGTACACATATACCAGTCCTCTGTCATTTAAAAAAAAATAACAAAAGGCAATGCTATCATGCAATTTTGGAAAGGTTTGTTAAGCTGTGTGAATGGATGGCTGTGTTCACTTAATGAACTACCCAATATGCATTACGGAAACACTATACAATTTTCACTACACCAATTCTGAAATGCCCACCAGCTCTAAAACCCAAGGCTAATTACCTTCGTGCTACACTCACCCATCTCTGCGCATCCTTCGAGTGAGGTCATCACAGCGTCTCTTTGTTTCCACAAATATTATCGTCTTATTTTCCTTTTCAGCCATTATTTCCTCCATTAGTTGAATTAACCTGAAAACGTAACCAATAATGCAGTCATCACACAGAAACATATCTCCCTATGATGTATATTTATAATCAACTCTCAAAACACTGACTTTTTAAAAGCTTTAATAAACAGAGTACCGAGGATGTTCTAGATGAAGCACAAAGTAAACCTATCCAATATTATACAGCTGGTAATTAGCAGAACCAGGCTGAAAATGCAAGAATACAGAATCCTAGCCTTTAACCACAACATTCTGTGAATGATATAAAGGATGAACTACTGAAAAGCTAGCAATGCTTTTCATGTTTTCAGGCTTTGGAAAATACTGGCTCCTCTAACACTTTAACTCTGGAGAATTACCAGGAAAACTTTATCAGCGTTATCAAAACAATAGTGAATCTCTTTCGTACTTGTGGTCTTTTTCACTTTCCATGCAGACATCCACAATCTGGAGGATATTGTGGTTGGCACTCAACTCCAGATTGCCAACATTGATCTGAGTGTAATCACGAAGGAAATCCTCTGCAAGCTGTCTTACTTCTTTTGGCCAGGTTGCACTCCACATCAACGTCTGCCTGTCAGGCTGTCAGGAAAGGAAAGGCTCTTAGATTAAGGAAATGTTACAGTCAAAGACACAAAGATAGTGAACTATTAGCTCTCCGTACCCTGATTTGGTCAACAATTTTACGGATCTGGGGTTCAAAGCCCATATCAAGCATTCTGTCGGCCTCATCCAGTACAAGGTAGGTACATCGGCGAAGATTTGTCTTCCCTGATTCCAGAAAATCTATCAGGCGTCCAGGAGTAGCTATGCAGATTTCAACACCTATAAAACAAAATCAAAGATCTAGGCAATTAAGAACTGTATTAAGAAAAAAACCTACACTTACTTATTTCCTTTCTTTTAGGGAGATGCAGACATACATGAGAATAAGCCTCAATACAATTTTCATACTGTGATCCTTCTCCATGCAATCCTGAAGACAAGGACCAAGGATCACGGGTGCAACCAAGTGTCTTTAGGTACACCCAAGGAGGTAAATAAGGTCTCCATCACCATAAAGCAGAGCCCTATTGCGCCACCATGGCTGGGTCAAGAACTCTCTGTATATTATAAGAGCCTCAGCAAACAAAGAAGCACCAGCTCTAGTGGTCATATTCAGTGCTGCAGGGCTATAGATAAATTTTTTTCTTTCTGTTTCTTTTTTTGGAGCGGTTTTTGCTATAGGGTGCATATGCTCACCAGAAAGAGAGAGAGAGAGACAGAAAGCAAGAAATCACCCCCCAGGGGAGATAGCCAAGCCACAATCCCTTCTCCTCTCGGGATCTTGGGCGGGCACGCACGCACGCACGCACATGCGCCCGGTGTGAGTTTAAGCCACCGGGTCTGGGACTTGAACCGCGATCAACTACATGGGAGTCCAGCAACATAGCCATTATGCTAACTGCTGATCCCAGTAGCTAAATTTTAACACAGTAACTGTGAAAGTATGATGTAAAGAGAATTTCTGCATAATATTAAAACTTTCAAATAGATAAGTTTTTAGCCATGTTGAGCTTTCTTAAAATAGCTTTTATAAACCATGTTTGAGAACTCTTACATTGCTAAAGTATGAAATTTTCTTCACAAGAATCCACTTTTTTCAATTTCACTCAAAGAATTTCATTAAAAAGGACACCCTAATAATTCTTACATGCGGAAATATTTATTACCTCTTTCCAAGTCCCGAATCTGAGGACCTTTAGGAGCACCTCCATAGATGCAAGTACTCTTCAATCTAGAACATTTTCCATAGTCATCAGCCACCTGCTGCACCTGCTGGGCAAGCTCTCTGGTAGGAGCCAGCACGAGACACTGAAACACATACCCGCACACACTTTAGATACCCACCTTAAATTAAAAAGAAAAAACACAACAACATAGCACAAAAAGATAATTTGACTCTATATTGTCTACAAGTATGTGATAACGTGGGAGGTTGGGAGGTCAGGAAGTAGTACACTGGAGGCCAGGCACTGTGGTACAGCAATAACAAAATGCTCTGTAAGACTGGAAGCCCTAATTGGAAGACTGGGGCCTGCTTCTTGGGTTAACTTGTACATCCAGGACCCAGGCTAGCTGGCAAGGGGACAGAAGGATTACAGCATGAGACTGGTGAGGATGCTTCTCTCTCAGTAAATGAACACTTTTAAAAAGTAGTAGGCTGATGTATAGGAAAAATTATTAGAACTTAATATTTACCATGTGGAACACAACCATACCACTTTGTTTACTTTGACATATTAAGTAGAGTTTATGTATACTATTTAAAAGGGTTTACAGATTATATTACCAAGTTTTAACTACACAACTCGCACAAAATAAACAAGTGGCCTTTGGATTAAATACCAACAAGAAACTAAGATTAATAAGAAGATGACGAGTCAGCCTATGGTGTGGTGGTTAAGGCGGTTAGATCCCTTGGCCGACTGTATAAAGCAAGTCCCAGACCCAGCAGGTTAAAGAACACACCAAGCACGTGTGTATATGTGCCCATTAAAACCCTCTAGCAAAAATTAGGAAAAAAAAAAAGGAAAAAGAAAATGACAGTAATGACACTAGTCTAAGTAGTTTAAGCTCCTCACCAGAAACATTTGGAAAAAAAAAATAAAGACAATTAAATATAAGATTTACATATGATCTGGTCAAAACAATACAAAATGAAGGCTCTTTGAAATAGGCATTATTTACACTGTTAGTAAAAATGAATGTAGGACCAGCAGATGGTGTTATGGTCACATCAATGGACTCCTACGTAGTCGACTACGGTTCAAGTCCCAGATCCGGCGACTTAAAACTTGTGCCAGGCTAATGTGTGTATGTGCCCAAAATCCTGACAGGAGAATGGAGGGTAAAGGATTGTGGCATGACCATCCCCCTGCCCTCAGTGGTGATTTCTTGCTTTCTTCCCTCAGGTGAGCACACGTGCACTGTAACAAAAATCTCCCTAAAAAAAATTAATTAAAAATAAATAATGGGGACCAATAGTTGGCCTAATGAATATGTCACTGGACTCCCAAGTAGTTGACTGTGGTTCGAGTCCAGGACTTGGTGGCTTAAACTCACACCAGGCACATGTGTGCTCAAGATCCTGAGAGGAGGGAAACAGCAGCGTAATGGCTATGTCGCTGGACTCCCACATAGTCAACCGCGGTTCACGTCCCAGAACCAGTGGCTTAAAACTCATGCAGGCGCATGTGCATGCGTGCCCAAGATCCCGAGAGGAGAATGGAGGAGAAGGGATTGCGGCATGACCATTCCCCCTTTGCCCGCTTTCTGTTCCTCTCTGGCGAGCCCATGTGCTTTATAGCGAAAACTTCTCAAAAAAAAAAAAAGACCCTAAGACAATGGAGGAGAAGGAATTACAGTGAGGCTACCCCCCTGGGGGGTGATTTTTCACTTTCTGTCTGTCTTCCTGGGAAGCACACGCGCCCTATAGCAAAAGCCTCACCCCCCACCCCCCAAAAAAAGAAAAAAAAAAAAAAAAAAAGAAGAAAGAACCCCAGGCTGGCTCACTCCCATTGGTCTGGTGGTTATGGGAGCCAGACCCCACATGGCTGACCACAGTTCAAATTCTGAAACTGCTTGAAAAACACACTAAGGGGCCAGCAGGTGGTGTAGTGGGTAGAGGTCCTGGACACCCACATGGCTGATTGTGGTTGAGTCTCAGAGCTGGTGGTTTGAATGTTACATCAGGCATGTGTGTGCATGTCCAAAATCCCGAGAGGTGAAGGGACTGCAGCATGGCCACCCTGGGGAGGGAGTTTTCTTACTTTCCCTCTCTATGAGTATTTCTCCTTTTCCAGGGAGTACACGCACTGTATGGCAAAAAAAAAAAAAAAAAAAAAGAGAGAGAGAAACACACGGGGCACATACACATGCATGCCCAAAAGCCCTGGCAGGATGGAGAAATAGAGAAGAGATACAGCATGACCACACCCCAATGGAGAGCACACATCCCCCATTCCAGTGAGCACACAGGCCTTCTGATAAATTTAAAAAATAACTCTGCTCTGTATACTGATTTCATCAAATGGCAGCTAATAACAAAGCTAACTTATACACATAAGACTTACTCCATAGAGTGCAAAGCAGAGAAATGTCTTCTTTTTGTTACTACTGAGTCATATAATAATACAAATATTTATAAATACACATGGCATGTATGAGCTCGATTTTTAAAAAAAAGTAAACAGGGGACCAGCAGTTAGTGTAATGGCTATGTCACTGGACTCCCACGTAGTCGACCACGGTTTGCATCCCGGCTCTGGTGGCTTAAAACTCACGCCGGGCACGTGTGCGTGCATGCCCAAGATCCCGAGAGGAGAATGGAGAAGGGATTGCGGCGTGGCCATTCCCCGGGGGGGTGATTTCTTGCTTTCTATCTCTGTGTCTGTCTGGCGAGCGCACGTGCCCTATAGTAAAACCCTTCCCCCCCCCCAAAAAAAAGGTAAATAGTATATATTCAAAATGTTGGGAAGCTACCCAAGTCTTCTAGGAACTTAAATAAAAATGACCAAAGAAGAAAACAGTGCTGTTCTACAACATTTAAGAAATTATTATTTAATGAGACCAGCAGTTAAGTGTAATGGCTATGTCGCTGAACTCCCATGTAGACCGCGGTTCGAGTGCCGGACCCAATGGCTTAAACTCACGCCAGGTGTGTGTGGGTGCGTGCCCAAGATCCAGAGGGGAGAATGGAAGAAAAGGGATTGCGGTGTGGCCACCCCCCCTTGGGGGGGGTGATTTCTCGCTTTCTGTCTCTCCGTCTGTGTTTCTGGCAAGCGCATGCGCACTATAGCAAAAAAAAAAAACAAAAACAAAACAACAACAACAACAAAAAAAAACCCACAAAGAAAACCTATCCCGAACTGGATTTAAAAAATCCTACGGCAGGGACCTTATCTCATTTGTATCCCTAGTAGCATGGCTGAGCAATTAAGAACTGCACGTGAACGGACTACAAAATAAGCTTCTATATAAACAGGCAGTGTAGAGGGGAGGGGGCGAGTCCGTGGCGTGGTGGTCAAAGTATTACTGCACATGGTCAACTGCATGGCTCAAATCTTTAGACCTGACATGTGTGCCAAGTGTGCCTAAAAATCTCAAAGAAGATGGAGAAGGGACTGCAGCCTGACCATGCCCCACATGAGGTGCTTTCTCAGTTTCCCTTTACTTCTCTTCAGCATATGCATGTGCTCTTCTGTGCGGTGTGGCCCCCCCCCCTTGGGGGGGGTGATTTCTCGCTTTCTGTCTCTCCGTCTGTGTTTCTGGCAAGCGCATGCGCACTATAGCAAAAAAAAAAAACAAAAACAAAACAACAACAACAACAAAAAAAAACCCACAAAGAAAACCTATCCCGAACTGGATTTAAAAAATCCTACGGCAGGGACCTTATCTCATTTGTATCCCTAGTAGCATGGCTGAGCAATTAAGAACTGCACGTGAACGGACTACAAAATAAGCTTCTATATAAACAGGCAGTGTAGAGGGGAGGGGGCGAGTCCGTGGCGTGGTGGTCAAAGTATTACTGCACATGGTCAACTGCATGGCTCAAATCTTTAGACCTGACATGTGTGCCAAGTGTGCCTAAAAATCTCAAAGAAGATGGAGAAGGGACTGCAGCCTGACCATGCCCCACATGAGGTGCTTTCTCAGTTTCCCTTTACTTCTCTTCAGCATATGCATGTGCTCTTCTGGCAAATTAAAAAGTAAAAACAAAGAAAATGGGAGAGAGCAGTATGGAACAGTGTTTGAGAGTAAGACTTTGGTTTAAATTGAAGATCAGCCATGTATGTGCTGTATGATCACGGGCAATTCATTTAATTGCACCTAAGATGAGAATAATACCACTTTCAGATATAAAAGGTGGGATTAAGAATGAATTCAGATAATTTATAATACCCAAAACACAATAATCATTTGATTATAGTGATTATTAGAATTATAAGCAAACCAAAACATACTTACAATTGGGCCATCTCCCCTTTCCAAGTACGGTTGGTGGTTAATGTGAACAATTGCAGGCAGCAAATACTGGGGTGTAGAGGAGGAAAGAAAGACAATTTTATAAAACTAATCCATTATTTTAATAATCCTAACTTATCACAGTAATTGTGACACCAATATAAGAAAAACAAAACTCACCATGGCCATACACACGAAGTAAATTCAAACATGAACTGCTTACATATATTTGACAGCTAAAAAGACTGATTATCCACACTATCTGAAATACACTTTTATTAAGAACTGAGGGCCGGGAACCAGCAGTTAGCACAATGGCTATGTCGCTGGACTCCCACGTGGTCGACTGCGGTTCGCGTCCTGGACCTGGTGGCTTAAAACTCACGCCAGGCGTGTGCGTGCCCAAGATCCCGAGAGGAGAATGGAGGAGAAGGGATTGCGGGCATGGTCATCACCCCTGGGGGGTGATTTCTCGCTTTCTGTCTCTGTCTGGCAAGCGCACGCGCCCTATAGCAAAAATCTCTCTCTCAAAAAAAAAAAAAGAACTGAGGGGCCAATCCTGTAGCATAAATGGTTAAGTGCTATGAGTGGAGGGAGCCAGAGCCCATATGATCAACAGGGATTCATATCTTTGCCCCAGTGGCCTGAAAAATGTATTGGTAACATATACATGCCCATGATCCTGACAGGATTGTGGCATGACCAGGACTTCACCAGATGGCCACTTTCTCTCTCCAGCAAACACATGCACTTTCCAGCATTGAAAAAAAGAAAATAATTGAGACCATACACGACAACTGGGATGGTAAAGTAGGTTACCGCAATGTCAAAGATCTTCACTGGCTAGTACGTACCGCCAATGTCTTTCCAGAGCCCGTCTGAGCAATGCCCACCATATCCCGGCCACTAAGAGCCAAAGGAAATCCCTGGCACTGAATTGGAGTTGGTTCAGTGAAGTGCTGATCCATCAACACATCCATCACATATTCTGTAAGAAAATAAGCATATCATTGCCTTTAAAACTAAGGACAAAGATAAAGGAGTTTTAAAAAACCGTTAAGCTCAAGGGAACCAGCAGTTAGCGTAATGGCTATGTTGCTGGACTCCCACGTAGTCGACCGCGGTTTGCGTCCTGGACCCGGTGGCTTAAAACTCACGCCGGGCGCGTGTGCGTGCGTGCCCAAGATCCCAAGAGGAGAATGGAGGAAAAGGGATTGCGGCGTGACCATCCCCCCTGGGGGGTGATTTCTCGCTTTCTGTCTCTCTGTCTCTCTCTGTTTGTCTGGCGAGCGCACGTGCCCTATAGCAAAAACCTCTCCAAAAAAAAATAAATAAATAAAAAACCCGTTAAGCTCGAAGGCAAGACTAACTCAACTTTATATCTCTCCCAGAAATGTTGTTTTATTTACTATATCTCTTGACCAGTACACTGCTGCCTCCAAGAGGGCTGACCACACCAATTTACATCCTCTAACAAAAAGGGGGTGGTGGTGGTGGCGGCAGATGGCTATGGCACCAGATCCCATGAGGCCACTTGGCGGGTCAAGTCCTGGAGGCTTGTAAAACCATACCAGGTACATATGCATGCATGCCTAAAATCCTGAGGGAATAAAGAAGATTGCCTCATGGCCATCTCCTCTGGGGGGAATTTCTCACTTTCGCTCTGTCCTTTCGGCAAGCATGTGAGTGTTACGGCAAAAGTCTTAAAAACAGAACAGAAAAACCAAAAACCCCCACTACCTCGAAGTATCCAGTAGGATTTAGGCACATATTCATTATTTACTATTTGCCAAATTCATATTTTACCTAGCTAGAAAGGATTTCTGTCTGTCTTTCTTAAAGGGAGAGGCAAAACCCTGTTAGATGATGAAAAAACTAAAAAAAGAAAAGAAAGAAAGAAAGAAAGAAAAAGGCTTCTACTTGACTTTCTAACAACACCCAGAGACTGGAATAAAAGCCTTTAAGTAACCTATTATCTATGTGTACCATTCAACCAAATTTAACAACTAAGACTTTGGATTACAGAATACTTACGTGGGAAGTTAGCATGATGGAATGCAAACACGGGCTTAGGACAAACATCTCCACCTCTCACTGTAATCTCTTTCTTTCGGCGTAGTTCATCAACCTCATACTATGTAAGAAAAAGAAGTGAGACAAGTTAGGAAACAAGTTATTCAAAACATTCTAGGGCCAGCAGGTGGCATGGTTGTCAAGGTGCTGGATCCCACATGGCCAACTGACGGGTGAGAGTCCCAGACCCTACAGCTTAAGGCACTCCAGGTATATATGAGTATGTGGCCAAAATCTTGAGGTGAATGGACTGCGGCACAGCCATCCCTCCAGTAGGAGATTTCTCACTCCTCCTTCGTCTCTGTCTCTCAGGTAAGCACACGCCCTCTATGGCAAAAGTCTAAGAAGTTATGTCCCAAGACAGCTGAATTATTATCATCCATCTTTATTTACAATGGCAAATGTTTAATACTTTTTTTTTTTAACAGCACTTTCATACTTGTAACACATCAACTCTGTGAGGCTCTGCCTAACTTTGTGAGTAAGAGTTCCATTTTCCACAGAAATATACTCTTATTAAAGAGACTCAGAAAAGAACAGGAACTTGTCCACAGTCAGAACTAAGAGGGAGAAAACACAGAACTTGGATCCGAGTATTCCATTAAACTTTCTTCCCAACAAGTAAGTACTTCATAATGAACTTAGAAAGACAAAGGGGCCAGCAGGTGGCATGGTGTTTTAGGCACTGGACTCCCACATGGCCGACCATGGCCGAGTCCCAGACCTGGTTCGCTTTCTCATGTTCTTTCTCTGGTAAGCACAAGTGCCCTGTGCCAACTTAAATAATAATGATAAATAAAATTAAGTAATTAAAAATAAAGGACATATCAGAGTATACAACACCAATATTTTAAATGTATTTTACTTTACAGATGAAAAAGCAGTTAAAGTGAGAAAGCAAGTTGCCAGGTCTAGGACTTGAAGCGTGGTCAGTCATGTGGAAGTCCAGCAGCTTAACCATCATGCCACCTGCTGGTCCCATGTATTAGTAATTTTAATCTAAGAAAAGTATTGAAACGGTACCTTTCTGCAAGAGAATGAACTATAAACAGCAAGAGCAATATACAAATAAACTCTAGCCAGTATGTCTATTTGGTTCATTAGTTTGCATAAAAAAGTAACACACACAAAAACTTACTGGAGTCAGCCTTGCTACTTCTGGATGTTCCACATAAAAATTCTTCTCAAACTTGGGGAGCTCACTCAAATCCCACTTCTTTTTCCGTAAACGCTCCCCAGGATTACCAAATTTCTTTGGGGGAAGGCCACCACCGCCACCTCTTGCTCCAAATCTAAAGCCACCAAAATTTATAAATCAATAGTACTCTAAAAGCAACACATTTTATATACCATAAAAACACAAGTAAATGGACTAGACATCATCAGCCTCTCTAAAAATACCATTATTCTTCCTATTTGAAATGTTAGTAAAACTGCCTTTACTATCCAATATTTGTAAGTATGGTTATAATGGGCAAAAACTTAAACATCCTGTATTTACAGAAATATGTAATAGAGATTACAATAAAGAAATTCTGAAATCAGATAAAGTTTTTGATTCTGCCATTTACTGTATGATTTAGAGCAAATTATAGCAACCACCCACCAGCAGGAGCTTCTTCTTGACTTCCTAGGAAGTGATTTTTTTTTTTTTGAGAGGTTTTCACTATAGGGTGCATGCGCTCGCCAGACAGAGACACAGAGACAGAAAGTGAGAAATCACCCCCCAGGGGGATGGTCACGCTGCAATCCCTTCTCCTCCATTCTCCTCTCAGGATCTTGGGCACGCATGCACATGCGCCTGGCGTGAGTTTTAAGCCACCGGGTCCGGGACGCGAACCGTGGTCGACTACGTGGGGGTCCAGCGACATAGCCATTACGCTAACTGCTGGTTCCCCAGCAAATTATTAAACTTACCTGCACCTCAGTTTCTCTGAGTAAAACAGAATGCTACCACCTCTCACAGAGACTGCTACAAAGATAAAATATGAGCACTTAGAACAGTACCAGGTGTAGTAGGTAGGCAGTACAAATTAGCCTAACTGTACCAACTATGCACCATGCACTATTTTAAATGGTGATGGAAATACTAACAGGATTAGAGACAAGTCTCTATTCATGTAATAGGCAAACATACTGGTTGCCAGAGGTCATGAGTTTAAACGTAACTTATGGGCAAGAGGGCCAGATAGTGGCATGGTGGTTTAGGTGTATGGATCCTATATAGCTGATGCATAGCTGCACAGTTCAAGCAGTGGCTTAAAAACACTAGGCACATGCGTGCTGCCCAAAATCCTGAGAGGAGAAATGGAGAAAGGATTATGATATGGCCATCCTCCCTGGGTGGGGGAGCTTCCTCCTCCCTCCCCCATGGCCTATAGTAAAAAAAAAAAAAAAAAAATTAAGGGCAAGATTGTGAACAGGGGGACCAGCAGTTAGCATAATGGCTATGTCGCTGGACTCCCATGTAGTCGACCATGGTTTGGAGTCCCAGACCTGGCTTAAACTCACGCCAGGTGCATGTGCGTGCGTGCCCAAGATCCTGAGAGGAGAATGGAGAAGAGATTGCGGCGTGGCCATCCCCCCTGGGTGAGGGAGCTTCCTCCCCCCCCACCCATGGCCTATAGAAAAAAAAAAAAAAAAACCCACAAAAAACAAACAAAAAAGAAAAAACCCATAAACAGCTTCTTGCTTGTATACCTTCACCCTCTGTACTATGATGAGCCCTCCTGCTAATCTGGGGGTTGGGGGGGAAGATACAAAACACTACTAGACTATTCACCTTTGGTTTATGTTAATAAAAAGAGGGCCAAAAGGGACTTTTCCCTCCCTTGTCTCCTTTTCCACTATACTTTTTGTTTACAGGCAACTACTTAATTATTAAAAAACTGATCTCTTGCCCTCCCCCCCCCACCCCATCTGTATGTAGGACAAGACAAAGAGGGAAAGCAAAAAAGGAGCACAACCATACCCCATCCCTACCATAATGGGGTATGGTCATGCTGCAATGCCCTCTCCTTCACTTCTCCCTCCTTTTGGAATTCGGGATACACATGTCCACATGCCAGGTATGCCTTTCAAGCTAAGGGCCCAAAACTAGACCCACACTGTCAGCCATGCAGGATCCAATAGCCTTAACCATCATAACACTGGACTAGCATTCTTTGCCTTTTTAAAGATATTATTTCATTTTATGTATTTTCATTATTAATATATTTGGGGGTAGGGGAGGCGGCAGAGAGTAAAAAAAAAAAAAAGCAAGCTGCCAGGTCCAGGACTCGAACTGTGGTCAGCCATGTGGGAGTACAGCACTTCAACCACCACTCTACCCTTCTTTGCCTTTTTTATATACACTTCACAACTGGCAAATTCAACTGGAATACTAACATAGCAACTAGCCAAATCTGAAATGTAAGAAATTAGAAGCTACTTTTCCTAGATTCTAATACTAAGATGGCTTTTAGTTCACTATTTCAATCTATGTAAAGTGCAGATCTTTTGTATACAGATGCATACAGTGCTGCTCATCTCACTTCCTCACTCCTTATAAAACACCGTACCTTATTTTTTTTCCCTGACTTTAACTCATCCATTAAATCAGCTTATATCAATTTCTACTTTATAGCCCAGCTATGGTGGTACATGCTGGTTTCTGCTACTCCACAGCCTGAAGCAACATCGGAGGCCCAACCATTCTGGAAGTTTGGGCTCGATACAGTAGGTTAGGCCTTGTTTTATTTATAAAAAAAAAAAAAAAAAAGTTCTACTTTATAAGTGACAAGCAGTAGCTGCTCTATTCTAAAGAGGCCTCCATTTCTTACAATTCAAAGCATTGGAACTCCTTGGCTTAAGGACTTCCCTAAATATTTCTCATAACACAATAGGGTTCAATACTGATCACTGATTCCATCCCCACCCCTACCCTGAGCTCACAATTTAAGATACTCTTCAAGAAAGTATATTTATCTTGGAGTTAAAATAATATAAACGACAAAACCGCAATTATTAGAAATCCCCACGCAATTCATTCATGTAGACTTTATGTGGTTCCTAGGTTTTACTTTCATTGCTACTGCTGCACTCCAATGCTACCTGAACTTTAATGATTTAGGAGAAAACAAAGATTCCTTTAAAGGCTTACTTTAAGGTGACCAGCCTTATTTTTATTAAATACATAATTCTGAAACACCAAGTTCTTAGAAAACGTCTTCCATGTTTATAATTAATCCTGATCTCAATATTGAAGGCGATCCTTTATAAACCTTATAAAACTTTTGTGCATGTCCACAATTTCTTTATATATGTGCACATCTTACTCCCTTGGTATACTAAGCTGCTCATTAAATGCTTTCTTTTAAGATTGGTACTAATAGTTTAATTTGGTGCTACAATAAATTCACCTTTGTATTCATTCATATATTAATATGAAAAAATCAACACCAATTTAAACATACAATGGATATAGTTTTTTGGACTATTATCTGCCTGATCCAGTGACCTCGCCTACACCATCTTCAAAATAACGTGCTTCAGCTCTATGGAAACAATAGTAATTCAAATAAACAAATGTCTGCGGTAAAATTAAGAGTCAGGACACAGACCTTCTGAATGAATGTCACTTTGTTTGAAATGAATTTTTAAACTTTTTTTTAAATGTCCATGTGGGATAAACTAAATTAAGAATCAGTAATTTACTTTTTCCCTCTCTTCAAGTAATTTTCTTTTATTGTTAAAGCATATTTAATGGTAAAATGAAATCTTGAAGCAAAAACCCATGGTAAAGAAACATTATCAGTATTCCAGGTACTTATTTCAAAATTTCAGCCCAGAACGTAACCACCACCACAATGAATTTTGCTATTTCTGTGGTTTGTACCATTTTATTCTGTGGTTTGTACCATTTTCTGTGTATCCTTAAATGTGGTCCTACAGTTAACCCAAGTTCTCTCTTTCACTGCTACTGCATTGAATCTAAGTATACCAATAGACTTCCTGTGCCTATTCCAAATTTACAGCCCACAATGTAACAAGTACCACCAAGAATTTTGGTACTAATCCTATGGTTTGTATCGTTTTGTCATGTTTGTATGTAGCTTTCTACATGTCAGTCTCAAGTTTTTTCTTTTTCATTGCTGCATTGTATCTAAGTGTACTAATACCCCCTTTCTGAGTTATTTCCTATATCCAGCTGATAAAACAATGCCAGTGTAAACATTTTTGTGTACAGATCCCAGGATTTCATGGGCAACGATTTCTCCAGGTCTAGTCCAGAGTATAAGGCTTAGAGAGGTATTACTGGTTCATTTTCAAGTTTACTAGGTTATGCTAAATTGTTTTTGGAGATTAAGTGATAAGTGCTTGTGAGTGACTATTAAATCTGGGACCTGTGTATTTTAACCAAAAAAGACAAAAGTTTGGAGATTTTCATTAACAGAACACCCACTACACCCAGACAGTTAACTACACACATTCCCTCTTGAGTCCTGAGGACACAGCAAAGTAAAGGCCAGTAATTTCTCTCCTTTTTGAGATGAGAAAATAGGTTAACAAAGGTAAGGGGTCTTACCCAAGGTCACACAGGATATACAGTATGAAGTAGTGTCACGTTACTATTTATCCCGAGATAACACTTTTACGGCTAAAACACTAATAAATAACATATTTCGCTTAATAGGCATTAAGATTTGAATCTCAGTATCTCGAAAGACTTCAGGTTTAACCCCATGTTAACTTCTAACCCAGAAACTAGAGTTCCATCAAAAATGTATCCCTAGGCGGAGAAGTTAATGCTGCAGTCCAATTTTTTAAAAAACTGGATGTACGGTATTGGCAAAAATAAAAACTACCCCTTTCCCTAACATAATCTAATGGTATCAATTCCACTTCTCTACACTCCAATGTGGTAATCATGAATTACTTAAAATATGACTGCTGGGGGTTCGAAACTTTTTTTTAAATTGGAAGTCGCCCTTTCAGTCTCCGGTCCCGTTAACAGGGCTCTCCAGAGGAGAAACGTAGAGAGCGCCATTCTCCTAGGCTGCACTCATCTCCTCCCTCAACAATATCCGTGTTTTCCAAACGAACGCCGAGGCCTGCAAGGATCGGACGACCCGCCTGCAGCGGCCAGGCTCGAACTCCAGGAAGAGAGAGGCCCAGGTCCGGCTCGCAGCGGCCAGGGCAGGCCGCCCTTCCCCCCTCCGCGAGCTCGAGCTCGGGCTCGGGCTCG